CATTGAAAAACCTAATGTGTTAATACTTAGATTTGTGTATATTGTCATCTATGCTCAGTAGTGGTGCAGTCTGGGTGTAAACCTCACTTTTCCACCATAAGCTTCAGTTATGAAATCTTTATATTTTTTCCTCTGGATTTTATAATAACATTCAATAAAGATTCACTGTAGGGGGGAACTTAACAGGCCAAAAAAAAAAAAAAATCTGTAGGAATTGGAGGTAGGGCCAACTGAATCTGGATGATTTAGAAAAAGTGGATGGATATTAAAAAACTATTTAAAATTTCCCAAGCACCTGAACTTTAAGTCACAGCAAATGCAAAAGTGTAGACAAATACTACAGAACAATAAGGACAACTTTGGAAAATAAGAATTTTCTGGAGAGGAAAAAAACATGATTAATGTTGAGTTCAAATTTGACAGAAATCTGTAAAGAGGTAACAATATTTCAGAAAGTCTGTGTATGGACAGGGATAAAGGAAACAAAGGGCAGGATCATTAGGAGTAATCAACTTGAAAGAGTTAATAGTACAATATCAAAGTAGAGAATTGTTGACACCCAATGAAACTATCAATACCCACATTTAAGTGCTCAGCATGAATTCAGCAGAAACATCAAAGCCAAGCTTGACTTTTAAGAAGGCTTCATTTTATTTATTTTTTTTAACAAGGAAATAGGTTTTTTTTTTCTTTTATTAAGTCATGAATATATTTATGCATTTGTGGGGTACTTCAATGGTACATATACCTTTCCTCTCCAGATTACACATCCCACCCAACTTAAGAGAAATCAGATCTTTTCCCTACTGGTTCAAAGAATACTTAAAGGCTCACTGGCTTCTCTCAAGGCTGCTTCTGGTTGGTTTTGTCCCCCCAGTGATATTTTCCTTGACCTGATGTTCTGTGGATCCACAACTCTTCCCCTAGAAGTATATCTAAGTGGAAGGATCCCAATCGTGCCTTGGGTAGTTTGGAAGTTTTTTTAATCACCCATAGTTCTATTGATTTCTTGTTATGAAGCCATAAAATGATAAAGTTCTGGGCTTCACAGAACACTATCTTTAAAGATATTATGGGGGTCTGTGGTACATCTAAGCCAGAACCAAGCACCCATGTCATAGCTGCAGATATAACAGTAAATAAATTAAAAAATCCTTAAGATATTGATGGATTTTGTGTCTTGTATCAGTCTATCTGTGTTGATTATTCTTTTCCAAGTCCTCAAAATTAGTAAATATTAGACCATTTGGAGCAGGTTAAAAAATAAGCATCTGTTGGCCACTATGATGTTATTTAAAGCTATAACTGTCTTTGACATTTCTCAAGCTATTGATGATGTTGCCCACATCACAGTTGTACTTTAGCATCTCTTTGAAACTACAGGCTTTGGTATCTGAAGAGTATCTAATCTAATCCTTTTTTACAGATGAAGAGATAGAGGCTTTGCAGTTTGGAACAAGTGGCATAAATAGCCAGTAATAGCAGAGCCTGCAATAGAGTCCCTGGCAACTGGTGTCTAGGTCAGTCCTCAGATTCTAACTTCAAAGTTACTATTGTTATTATTAGAAAAAGGAGCTGAAGAAACAGTTATCTAGAAGAGCAATGTGTGTGCGCAGATGGATGTGTATTTGCATTTCAAATTACAATCCAATGCATAGATGCATCTCCTTCATTTGTTTACTACATTGCTGTGCTTCGAAAATTCAGCATTTGAATCACAAAAAATTCTCTCATTCACTATGCTTTTCTGACAATGTTATGACAAACTGTATTCTATGTAAACCACTAAAAATAACTTATTTTAATAGGCCATCCAAGTTTTATTTAATTTGTACCCAGTTTCACACAATTTTAATTATTTAAAATGTCAATATAGAGGCTGGGTATGAGGGTTCATGCCTATAATTCTAGCACTCTGGGAGGCTGATGTGGGTGGATTGCTTGAGCTCAGGAGTTCAAGACCAGTCTTAGTAAGAATGAGAGCCTGTCTCTAAAAATAGTCGGGCATTGTGGCAGGCACCTATAATCCCAGCTACTTGGGAGGCTGAAACAAGAAAATCATTTTTTTTTTTTTGAGACAGAGTCTTAAGCTATCACCCTGGGTAGAGTGCTATGGCATCACAGCTCACAGCAACCTCAAACTCTCAGGCTTAAGCGATTCTCTTGCCTTAGCCTCCCAAGCAGCTGGGAATACAGGCACTGGTCACAACACCCTGCTATTTTGTTGTTGTTGTTGCTGTTGTTGCAATTGTCATTGTCATTTTAGCAGGCCTAGGCCAAGTTCAAACCTGCCAGCCCCAGTGTATGTAGCTGGCACTCTACCCACTGAGCTACAGACGCCACCCCAAGAGAATCACTTGAGATTTCAAGAGTTTGAAATTGGTGTGAGCTGTGATGCCACGGCACTCTACCAAGTGTGACACAGTGAGACTCTATCTTAAAAAGTAAATAAATAGAGAAATTAATAAATAAAATGTAGATATATAAGATTCAACATTTACTAGCATTCTATCTTTGGAATTTACTTAGGAAATAAAGCAGCTTAAGAATTAAATTAATAAATATCTCTTCATAGATGATAATTCCAAATTTGTGTTCAGAGAGATTTAGCTACATTAGTAGCATGATTCCCCCACATCCACAGTCTTCTTAATTGATTTACTTGATACTCTTCAAAGTCTATTTTCTAAATACTTAGATTTTTATCTCTATTGCTGCTTTTGAAATGTTCTCCATGATTGTGAATCTATGTAATGTAATTTTCACATTTGGTGTCATTTTTTTGTAAATGGTAACACAGAGCAGGAAGAATCTCTGGCCTTGTTTCATACTAACCTAGTACTTCAATTCAAAATATGGGTGAAATACTAGGAAGCAAAAGAGAGAAAGAGTTGAAGATCTCCAAGTAAGAAAACCTTGTGTTATGATTAAGCAGAGGGACTATAAAAGGGTAAACTCTGAAGCAAGACAGGGTGATAAAAGGAAAAATCTTAGCAGAAATAGCCTCTGAGCAGAAGTGAACTGAGGGACCCGGAGCTGGTCTGTCTACTTCTATTATTAATAATGTTTTTCTAGAAATTTGTCTCCCCTCTGGCCCCTTTCATCTTTAAATCAGGTCCTGGCATCTCATTTCGTTTTCTTAAAGGAATTCAAGAAATAATAAGAATAGTACACAGATTACTTCATGTTTAATCAAAATCTTCAGCAATGCCCACATTTTTATGTCAGCAACCAGATTTGCTTTGAATGGCTTCAAGAGTGTATTCATTTCCACTGATAGTGTTTTGCTTATGTAGATTCTGACTTCACGCTAAAACGAAAAGGGAGCAGGGTGTGAGTGTATATCAGTGCGTGTGTAATATGTCAGTGGCATAAATTCTTCTCCCTCCCCCCCACCTCTCTCTCTTCCTTCCTCTCTTCTCCCCTCCCTTTCCTCCTCCCTCTCTCTCTGTCCCTCCGCCCCTCCTCTCCCTCTCTCCCCACCAATTGCATACACTTAAGCTCTAAGAAAAGATCTCTTACCTGTTATTCAAGTAAAGCAAGATTTTGAACTTTGGAGCTAAATGATAACCGAGATCAGTGTAAATGCTCTGTAATTCAAAAATATTTAAGCTGCTTAAAAACAGTCTTCCTCGTTTCGTTAGAGACAGCACTCTCCTCTTTCCTCCCTCTCAGGCAAGAAGGGCAAGTCAGTGGTCGGCGGCGGTTAGCAGACTCGGCGTGAGAGGACGTTTCTTAACTGGATAACTTAGTTGTCCCCTGCCGCTTAGTCTGCATCCACCTCCACGCAGGAGTCTTGGCCCAGCCTCTGGGATGGTGCTTCCCCTTTCCAAACTCGCACCCTTGGTGTCCTTGTGCAGCTGCACGTCCCCAGTCTGAGGATGCACCTCCAGGCGTGTCCGGCCCGGCTGCGCCCCTCCTGAAGGAGGTTTCAGGGGTGCAGCCAGGGCTCCAGCAGGAGTCTCCGCCAGTCACCATCGCTGACAGGGGCAAGCCTGGTCTCCTGCTAGGCTTGCCAGCTGCTTAGCTCCTGACCTGCCAGGAGCTTACAAAAATAAATAAATAAATGAAATAGCTCGCTTCTGCACTCTCGCCCCCTTAAGTCACCCCTAGAAGGTTGTTTTCCCCCTAAGGAGAGCAAACCTCCTGGAAGATTTGTCCAGTGACGGGAGGAGGGTCAATATTTGCTTTGTTACTGGAGAAGAGGCGGCAAGTATGGAGAGAGAGAGAGAAACAGAGAGAGAGAGAGAGAGAGAGATGTTTTGCAGCGAGAAGTAAGCAGGGAAGAGGCATAGGGAGAGGCCGGTGCCCCAGCTCCCCTCGGGCCTCGGAGAGCGGCACACGCCGTAATTCCCTTCCCAGAGCCTTACAGATTTCCACAAACAATGACATCACTCGCCGCCGCTGGCCTGATTACAGCTGGGGGGGTTTTCCTGGGCGCGCGGCGAGCCGGGGCGGAGACGGAGGCGCTCTCCGGGGTGCTGAAAGGGGCGGGGGCGCGGGCGCGCGGCGCGGCGCCCCCAGCAGGAGTAGGCCGCGGGGCCCGGCCGGGGGCGGGCAGGGGCGGGCCCGGGGCGGCCCGGGGCGGGGCCCGCCGCTTCTCCCGCCCTCATTGGCCGCCGGCGGGCGCACGTCACCCGGGCTGGTGCTCTCCTCCGGCCCCTGTGGAACTGGAGCTGAGGAGGAGCTGAAAATGCAGATTTAGCATCAAGCACAGACATACACTCGCTCTTTCTCTCCGGTACACACGGCTCCCCACATTCGCACCCCTGCCCGCCAGCCGGGCCGCCTGGCTACACGACGTCCCAGCCAGCCAGATGCTGGAGAAGAACACACACTGATTTGCTGCTTCCCAAGCCCCTATTCAGTCTCTTTCTTTATACAAAGATTTTTTTTAACTATATACATATATTTAGTTTTTTTATTTGCACCTTCCCTCTGGGTCCCCCGCTCTGCCAGCCTGCGCGCCTCCTGGCACCACTTTTCACTCCCAAAGAAGGATGAAGGGTGGTTGTGTCTCCCAGTGGAAGGCGGCTGCGGGGCTCCTCTTCTGTGCCATGGTTTTTGCATCTGCTGAGAGACCCGTCTTTACGAATCATTTTCTTGTGGAGTTGCATAAAGGGGGAGAGGAAGAAGCTCGCCAAGTCGCAGCAGAACACGGCTTTGGAGTCCGAAAGGTAAGCTCTCCCATGCATTTCGCATGTTGTTTCAAATCGGGGGGCAGCCCTGCGCAATCTCATTGCAGATTTGCAAGTTTTCTCTCTTTCTCCGGCGATGCAGATATTCTGCCATCGGCTCTTTAACACGATATTGCCTCCAGTGATCTTTCACAGGTTATGTAATTAAAATGTCCTTCATGTGTACTAGTAAGGTCATCAAAATAATGTATTGCTCTTTGACTTGGTGGCGAAAATAGGATAACCCCTTTTAAAAGATGCCATGCTCCCGGGATGCTGTCCGAGGTACCAAGTTCTCAAGGCTGCTTGGAGATGGAGGGACGAAGCCCTGAACAGCTGGGCTTGGAGTCCGTCTGCTGCTTGACCGGGGACGTCTCCCCCACCCCCATTCCCTGGAGAGAGAATAGTTTCCTACCCGTGAGGTTTGAAGCTTGGACATTGCAATTCACCCCGGGGCATCTCCCACCCCACGCCGGGAGGACGTCCCTCCCACTGACTTCGGTCACTCCCGGCTCTACTCCGGGAACAACAGCTCCCCGACTCCTAGAGACTTGGAAACAAGAACCGATCCCTCCAAAATTGGGGAGAAACTTCTACTCCCTCGCTCCCGCCCACGACCGCGCGGCCCCCGGAGCGCACTTCTGGTTGGCTGCCTAGTTCTCAACTCCCAGGTACCCGAGCTGGGGAGGTAGATTTTGAGGGGGATTCCCTGTAAGAAGTGGAGGTGCCCGCTCCTGATATGTGGGCGGCCAGCCTGGCTTTCCCACGATAGCGTGGGGATCCCCATTCCGAGAAGTTGTCAGAGTTCAACTCTGGGCAACTGGAGGCGGCTCCCAGACTGGAACGCCTCGAGACTCGTTTGGAGCGCCCACCCCGGGAGCACAGGGCCCAGGAGAGCGCGCGCTGGGGGCCGCAGCCGACCTGCTCGCTGTTCCTGCGAAATGTCTGTCCGGAATCTCCAGCGTCCTCAGGGGACCTGGTGCAGGCAGGGGTGGAATGTAGATGCAGGAAGAAGCTGGGACGAGGGAAACCCGAAGGACGGAAGGGTGTGGATGGCTCCCGGAGGGCTGGATGGTGAGCAGTGAAATTCCAGGCTGTTTCCCTTCCCTCCTGGTGCTAGGAGAGAAGCGACCTGAGCCGAGCTGATGAGCGGTGGGTGTTTTCATTTGTTGCTTTTGCCTTGAAGGGCCGCGCGGACCCGGTCTCCTATTAGTCTTCTGTCCGACTTCCCACGCCACCCGCCTCTATTCCAGCCGCCGCGAGGGCTCCCTCAGGTGCCGCGGGCTCTCCCGCCTCCAAAGGGCTTAGGCAGCAGCCGGGATTTCAACCCCAGAGGGGTTTTGCCACGAGTTTCAAAGGTCTGGGAGGAGGCACCGGGTCTGCCAGTGGCGCGCGGGCTGGTCTTGCAGAGAGGAACTTGTTGCTCCGGGGACGCGGGGGAAGCGTGGGTGGAGCAGCGAAGGGACGGCGCCACCCAGGGAGCACCCTGCTGTAGCTTGGGGACTGTTCCGGGAGTGCCGCCAATACAGTAAACAAGCAGACCCTCCTTTCCCTCCATCACAAACTCGGCAATGGACTCAACCTCGGCAACCCAGGACTCAATATTGTAAGGATCATTATTAGCTGACAGTTACCAGGAACCTTTATGTGCTCAAGTCCCTACACAACAGTTTTGCTTAATCTTCTACACAAAGAAACACAAGGGCAAGGTAAAAACAGGCGAGATTTAACATCTATACCTGTCAGAGGTGAACCCATGCTCTTCTTACTCCTCGGTATCTACCACCAAGCTTGCAGGGTGTATTGGGCATTGGGGATGCTGGAAAGAGATTTTAATTCTTGGGTGTAATAGAGTTGCAGAAACCTGTGGCTCCCTCCGCCGGCCAGCGCACCTTTTCATAGAGTAGGCGGATCCTGCTTACCAGGGGGGTTTTCTCCCTTTAAATATATCCTTAGGATCCGAGATCAGATAACCCGGCCTCTTTCTTCCTCACTCTTTCTTGGAGAGGAACCCATGAATTTTGCATCACAGCCTCAAACCTACAATTCCCAGCTGGGAGAAATGAGTTTTCACATTCCAGCTTTTTTCCTTACCTCTCCACTGTTTCTCAAGTAGTGCCCCTTAACCAAATCCAGTGACTTTCGCCTGGTCATTTGAGTAACAATCCGTCTATGACAAGATACCTCTGCCTGATGGGTAGGCCGAGTGTGACAACCGCCTAGAATAAAACTCCTCCTCCTGGATCCATCCTTGAAGACCTAGATCTAAACCTTCCCTGATGCTATGGACAACAACCAGCCTTCCCGTCTCCAAGTTCCTATGGAACCGCTCGGTAAAATCTGCGCTACATAAGCTAATACACTCAATCACTCGTCCTCAGTCATTTCACGTAAACATAACCGTAGGTGTTGTCTCTCCACTTGAATGGTGAATTTTCAGGGATGATATCTTCTGTACTTCTGGTTTTCTTGATGTAAACAGCACGTTGTTGAATTTGGCAGCTTTATGGAAACTTATCATTCCAGGTTTCCCAAACACGGTTGCCAACATTTGTTATTCTTTTTGCATTTTAACCCATAATACGTCCTTCTCCTGCCTTGCTCTGACAGTCAGCATGCCTCTCCCCTCCTCTCTGATGCTCAGCATCAGACCCCGAAGATTCGCCATGATTATTTATTCATCATATGAAGACTAGAGGAGCCTGCATTTTTACTAAATCCTGACTTTACATCTCCGTCCAACCTTACAAACCTATAGTAGAAATTACTGGCATCAGCCCTCATTCTCAGATGAACATCTCAGCGGTCCAAGAGCTTAAGTAGCCGTTCATATCTGGCAAGTGAAAGAACTTAGATTTAACACCAAATTTGCTTGACTGAAAATGCTTACTTTTCTACATCACGTTGCCTCCAGGAAGCCTTCCCTAGACTTCCTCAGACCTCTGCTTTTGAGGCATCATTTTAGAGTTCCCATATTTTTTCTTTCTTTTCTTTTTTTTCTTACTTTTTTCCATTTTTATCATTTACATATTATTAACATGTGTTAACTAATGTATATGTGTATGTACATCTTGGGGCAAACTATAAATCTTCCAAGAGATTAAATACTATGCTATTTTTTTTTTTATTGCCCTCTCTCTAGCTTGGTGGCCTGTACTTGAGATAGTCAATAAATATTTGTTGATTATTTGATTTTTACAAGACTATGAACAAAATCATATGTTTCCTCTCTATAATAGAGTTAAAAACTTCATAATTTTACCTCTGGCATATAGAGATTAAGGTTTTCTATTTTATTAATATTATCACCTGGCCCTGGCCCAAAGCCCTATATCCACTAGAGAAGACACCTATATGGAGGAGAATAAGTAGGTTTACAATAATGACAAAGGCATTATTCCAAAGAGTATTTTAAAATTCTCAATATACTGATAATTTTTAATCCCTTTGAAACAGAAAACAAACACTTTTATTGGGGTAATGCATGGAGAATGACCAAAAATCAAGTAAGAGTTAAGTTTTTAAAAAAATTTAAGAGTTGAGGTTAGGGGGAAAAAAGGTATCATGCTACTTAGTTGAGTTTGATTCATTATGTATGTTTTGTTTTTTATACACAAAGGACTGACACTGGGATGATTACACAAGTAAACTCATGTGACCGTTTTTATATGTGTGAGAATATTCTCATTTTAAAAATAATATAGTAATAATTTTGCTGCCCAGTAGTGAAAGAATAAATTTCTGGTCATTTCACTTTTATTGACATGTGATTGATAGAAGAGCTCAGCTTAATAAATTTTCACAAACTGAGTATACACCTGTAACCAGCATCCAGATCAAGAAACAAAATTATCAGCATCCTTCAGTCCCCCACTTGCTCACTTGAGTTGTTTTCACTTTGGGGCTGTTATAAAAATTGCTTTTGTAGACACTGAAGTATATGTACTTTGGCAAACACATACATGCCATTCTGTTGGGAACTGTCAGTCCAAGCCAACTGGAGTCATACATTCAGCTTTAGGAGGCTGCATCACTTTTCTACTGCTGTGTAACAAATCACTAAAAATCCGGTGGCCTAAAACCACACAATATTGTTATTTCATAGTTTTCATGGGTAAGGGGGTCTGGTACATTTTAGTTAGGTCCTGTATCGAAGTCCTCAGAGGATAAAAGCAAATAAAGCCTGCTGCTTCTCACGTAGAGGCAGGACCGAGAAACACTTCATTTCTGAGTATGTTTGGGTTTTACACCAGAAGACTTTATTTTTTGCTGGCTACTGAGACAGAACCACTCTCATCTCCCAGGGCTTGCCTTCATGACCTCCCAGCAGGACCCCCCCACTGCGGGCTGCTACATACTCCCGCCCTTCAAATCTCTTCCTTCAGAAAGCACCCAGTCTCTTTTTAAGGTTAATCTGATTAGATCAGGCCCACCAGGATAATTTCCCTTTTGATTCTTCTGATGAAATTCAAGTTGACTGATTTGGAAATTTAATTACATTTGACAATGTCTTCCCCTGTGTGCAATCTTATCACAGAATTGAAAGCCATCATCTCCACACTCTTCCCCACATTACCCACACTCAAAGACATGATGACATGGGACGTATCCCACCAGGGAACAGAAACCTTAGGGTGGGGGCAGTCTCCAAGTTCTGCCTACTACAGACAAGCAGCCACACAATTTTCCAAAGTAGTTGTGCCAATTCACACCCCTGCCTGCTATATGTGAGAATTCCGGCTGCTCCATGCTCTTACCAACATTTGGTGTTTAACGCCTAGTTTCTTCTAGCCATTCTGGGGTGTGTGTGTCTCATTACAGTTTGGGTTTGAATTTTCTTGATGATCAAAGTTGAACACTTTTTCATATGCCCTTTGATGATTTGGATATTCTTTTTTTTTTTCTTTTTTGCTCTTTTTGGCCTGGACTGGGTTTGAAGCCACCACCTCTGGTATATGGGGCCAGTGCCCTACTCCTTGAGCCACAGGCACCACCTGGGA